TAACTATACGTCTTATCTATAAAATTGTATATTGAAATGTCTGACATTATAATTTTTTTTTTAAAAGGTGGGGACACATGTAATTATTACCCAAAATAAATTAGAAACAAGAAAATTGCTTGCTACACGAAGACAAGATCCATGAGGCTATAGGTGGTTGGCGGGGCAATTATTTTCTAGGCCATTTGGCCCAATTTATTTACAAATGGGACATTTATTGAGGCAATTTCAATTCTACGAAAAGGCGTTACTTCGAATTGCGCTTTTTAAGAAGCCGACACTTGTCATCTTGTTATTGGCTTAGATGGCTTTTTTTTTTCAAAAGCTTCAGTCACGTGTCCTTTTATTTTTTTGATTTTCTTTTTTAATTTCAGATTTCATTTTCCTTATTTAATTGTTGTATTTAATAACTAAAAATAAATAAATATATTGCTTAATTAAAAAAAAAAATTCTTTACATTTTTTATTTTATTTAATTATTTGTTTTTCCAATGGCTAAACTAATAAAATGTCTAATTAATTAAGAAGCATTTGTGTTTTGCAAATTGCAACATACTTTTGTTTATTTAATTTGTGTTGATTTGAAAAGTAAATATAATAAAAAATTTAATTTTTATAATAAATTTATAACTGAACACATAAATAAACACAATAATAAAAATATCTATGTTTCAAACTTTCAATAATATCCTTTTCATATGAGAATGAACCAATTGGTAGAGGGTGCACGGCCAAAATTATTATTGAAACATAGATATTCTTGTTATTTTTTTGATTATGATTTTCTTTGATCAAATTAAAATTTTCTAATTTTTTTTTTTAATTTTCAAAAAAAAGATTTGCTACCATAAATTAATTAAATCTTTTACTAGTTTTAGTTGTTGGAAGAAAAAAATAAGCAAAGTAAAACTTGTAAAGAAAAATAGTTTTCTAATTAAGTACAATTTAACTATTTTTAACTCTTAAAAACAAAAAATTAAATAAAGAAAATAAAATCCACAATTAACAGAAAGAAAATAAATAAAAGAAAAAGATGTCCATACACGTGAGTCAGACATTTGAGAACAAAGCAAAGCCAATAAAAAACTGCCAAGTGGCGGCTTCTTAAGAAGCGCAACATCAAATGACGTGTATTTGTAGAATTGAAATTGCCTAATAATTTGTCCTATTTGTGAAAACATTTGGGCCAAATGGCCTAGAAAAAAAATTGGCCCAGGTGGTTGGCATGGGGATGAGGTTCTCGACGACAATCGGCGCCTCTTTCTCCGAGAAGTCGATCAAATCCATCGATGGACGACGAGCTTCATCTTCGTCTTATGTTGCAATATCAATCAATGGTTTCTCCGGCGGCCTCCGAACATCTTCTTCTTTTTCTTTTTGATCTTCTTCTTGTGTAGCAATTTCAATCAAGGGTAATTTATTCCATCTTCTTACTTGATCTCGCAGTTTAGTACGCAGCCTAGTTCCCTTTTATAAATTATCAAAAGAAAAGTTATCTTTTATAATTATCTCTTTTGCTCGTCGGAGTTAAGGTTTTCTCGAGATAGTTTACGAAAGAGAACGTGTCTTTTGTACATATTTCTGAATGAATAACTCCTCTCCCTTTTTCCTAATCATAAGATATTTTCTTTAAATAAAAATATTTTGCTTATTCGAAATTCCTGTTTTACGGGCCATTCTAATGATATAAGATTGGATATGCAAGATCTTGATAAGTTTTTACATCGAATAAAATCGATTAAAAAACTGATAAACTATTTCGTCTTATTTATAGAATTACATTTTAAAATGTTTGAAATATGAGTTTGTGAGCTACTTTTAGTGATTAAAAAAAAAAAGCGAGAAGAAAATTGCTTGCTACATGAAGACAAGATCCATGAAAAAGTTAATTAATTGCAATGTAGTCCTTCCAGTTTAAGTTATAGAAATTTACACTCTATTAACAGCTTGAGCATTACTTAACATCTTTTCGGATTTTTTATGCAAGTTGATTATAGTTTTCCAAGTTCAGAGAAGATAAGGAAAACCTGCGCCAAACCCCTGCTTTTTTTTTCCTTGCGCAAGAGCCCTTCTTTCTTGCATGAAATTTCCATTTCCGTTAATAGTTAACACCGTTAGTGATTTTTTTGCAAGGGGATTTAGGGCATATCTTCTACAATACAAAGGACTTTTATGCAAAATTAATTTATTCTTATAAAATTCAAACTATTTTCTTAAATTAAGTTGCATACGTGTGTGTGTATGTGTGTGTGAATATATATATATATATATATATATATATATATATATATATATATATATATATATATATATATATATATATATATTCTATGAACCTGGAATCACCTGCAATTGAAAAATCCGAAAACGTGTTATATGTTAAAGTGTATAAATTTCTATAACAAAAACTCTGGTTCATATAAATTGAAATATAGCAAATGTACAGTGTTGAATAAACTCTGGTTAGTATTTTGATGATGTAATAAACTGGTAACTATCGATTATCTATTTCTTTGAAAAAAACAGAGCTGACGGCTTCCTTGCCCACGAGGAGATATAAAAAGAGTATTTCGCTTCGCTCTGGTGTGCTTAAAACAGTCTAACGAGATAATGATACCTTCAGCGCTTCAAAAGCGAGTTGGCATTCATCGGACCACTCAAACTGGGCCGTTTTTCTCAGGACTTTGAAAAAAGGTAAACTTTTATCCGCCATTCGCGACACGAAACGAGCCAACGCCACAATCTTCCCTACGAGGGATTGTACTTCTTTAATGGATCTAGGTGGTGTCATCTGGAGGATTGCCTCTACTTTATCCCGATTTACTTTGATACCTTCCCGAGTGATCACATATCCAAGGAATTTTCCGGCTTTAACGCCAAATGCCAACTTTTTGGGGTTAAGTCTCATCCCGAAAAGACGAAGGGTAGCAAATGTTTCGGCCAGATCAGCGAGGTGCGTTGAACGCCTTTTGCTTTTGACTAGCATGTCATCCACG